TTTACAGCAAGATCAGAGATTGCATTGGTGATTTTATAATAATATAAAATATGTGTGAGTCACTGTGTGAGTGTTCATGCATCTGTGTGTGCGTATAAGGAAGAAGATGCATTCAAAGTCACAAGGCATGCATCTGACACTGCTAATAGTTGGAAAACTGTTGCGAGTCTTTCCTGCTATCATCATCAGATGAGATAATGTGGGGTTTTTTTTGAAAGAGTTTCTTATAAAAAAATACACTAGCAGAAACTTTGATTAAAGGGATCTGAACACTGGAATAATTAACAAGTTTTTGAGCTATCTTTATGTCAGCCATCCTGAAATATTTTGTTAAAACACATAATAAAAACCCACACACATTCCAGTATATATTTTCAGTAGTATTCAGAAGAGATCTGTGCTGTACAATCATGGTCGTGGTGACCTGGGGTTTGATTTTTATTGGACAGTTCTCTAGTTGTATTTCTGGCCTCACATTTTTGTACATAACTAATATTCATTCTGATCCTGAAAGGCAATAGCTAAGAAAGTGGTTTCACAATTGACTTAACGCATTCCCACCTTCTCCTGGGTCCTAAGAGCACATTGGAGGTTCTTTCTTGCTTCGGGGCCAGTGTTCATGTGTCTGCAGGATCAGTCGGATCCAGGAGCTGCTTTGGGATCCGCATGGCTCAGATGCTAATACGAGCACGGGAGAGGGGTGTTTTGATTATGAAACCTCAGCCTAAATTAATTTGCATTCATGTTTGGATTTCTGTTTTATGTGAGATTCAGAGCTTTACCGTGTATCTGCCATTGTTTAGTGCTGCAACGCGTTGTTATCCTAAGCCTGTTGTAATTGTTCTGTGGTAATAACAAAGGTAGAAAATGAAAGAGAAATAACAACTTGGAAGTGTCAAGTTTTTGTCCTTTCTCTTTTTGTGTACAGAATTTGTGGTGGTAGTGTGGACTCTGAAGGTCAGCAGACTGGAATGCAGCGGCTGCAGACAGCGAGACGTCCTGTGTATAGATTTATAAATGGGCTGTAGGAAAGGTGAAATGCTTTATAGGTGCTGCCTGTATTAATCCTTAAGTGTATGATGATCAGATGTCAGTGTGCATTTTGTTAAGTCTAAGAACATTTTAGAAGGGAAAAAAAAAAAGAAGATAATATAGTAAATGTACACACGCACTATATCTATTTTTTAGAGTGCAGGCAGGTATGCTAAAGCTGCTTCTGCTGTACATAAAGTGCCCTTAGTTGCATGGAACCTGGCAGCCTTGTGGATTATGTGGGTGATCCAATACAAATCTAACAGTAATCTCCTAGCACCGTTACTTCAGTTAGTATACAATTACACTTATTTGGGGTGGACGTTTTTTGGTGCCAAACATTCAAAGCAGAATTGCAGGCTTTGTCAAGGCTCACTTTAACAAAAAAATCACTGTAAATTAGAACTGTTAGTTTTATTAATAAAGCAACATAGATTTTATATAGCTATAGCTATACATAAATATATCTAATCTCTTATATAAAGAGAGAAAAGGCCATGTGGTATGGTTCATACAGTATTTAGGAGCTGTGGGATTAATGGGTATTCCAGTATTTGCAAAGATTCGATACCATATCTAGCACGAAGATGGTGATAATGCAGCACTCCCTTAGTTTCTGTCACTTTTGCTTCCTGGCATTGGTGCTTAGAGCTGGCAGACTGCGGGTTGTTACCACTATTGATGGTGATGTCTTCATGCCATTCTGGGTTCCCTTACATCTCCAGAGGAGTCCATAATCAGTTGCAAGTACGTTTGATGTTGATTTCTCATCTATCAATTGTTTTGGTGGATGGAAAGAACCTAACATGTGGATGTACTGCTATCTTTAGTTTCCTTAATAATGTTGTTGAAATACAAAATTATTTTGTAAGGCATGCTGTTGGGTAAAAGTGGTTATTAGAATAATAATGCAATTAAGTAACCTGTCTTGTGTGTAGACAGTTTGTCCTCTCCTTAGTATGTGTAATAGTCCATATGCATTAGATACTGAGCATGTAATGGTTCTGGTATACAGTGGGAGATTTATTTTTCTTATAGACTTAAATAATACAGAGATTGTGCATTCTCTGTGCACATGAAATACTGAAAACCTTTTCATCCATCTACTGGGTTTGAATGTTAAAGTTCTTCAAGCTGGAAATGCAAGATCTAGTCAGGCTACAGAAGCATATATAAACAATGTTCACAAATTTCAGCGGAGTTAAAGTGAATCTCAGCATCATTTGGACTGATCTTTTGGCTTATTTGGAAGATTACAATAAAACCCAAGACTGAGTTCTCTACCTGATTCAGTTTCTTATTGATTGAATCCTTTTAGACTCCTCTCTAATTTAACAGTGTATTTTTATTAAAGCCAAGCATACAAACATCAATTATCCAAGCTGCATCTAATTTCCTTCAACATTTTTTTTTCCTTTTGCTGCCAATGGATTAGAAGACCTGATTAGAATTCAGCTTGAAAGCTGAAAAGCAGATCCTTAAATGAGAATGTCTGCATTAGGAATTAAAATATCTGTACTGGGCATAAAATCCTCCTCCTTATCTCTAATAATGTAAACACACTTTGTTAAGTTGATCTGTCACATGCCTGGTGCAATGTCCCTGAATTAGGAGCATGTATTAGAAAGGGCGGAATGGGTCTGTGGCTTGTCCCACTGTTAGAATCCATCACCAGTATATTTTAACATCAAAGTGCTTTGCGTAGATACCTCTCTACCACAAGGGTTAATGTGGTAAGAGTTTGAAGGGCTCGATTTTTTTCTTCTCATGTTTTTTCCTCCTAAAACCAAGAATGTTTGCATGTGCACAAGCAGTAGGAGCAAGGCAGAGGAGGGGCCTTCTAACTTTTCACTGTTGGTAGCTTCTACAGAGTTAAGGATTTTGTAATAATGCAAAGGTGAAATAATTGCAATGGCATCACCAACTTAATATCCAGAAAACCCTAAACTGGTAAATGCATGCATTTAACATGACATTAAAGTGTTGGCCCATGTCTAAACTCGTAAGAAAGAGTTACAAAATTAATTAAATTGTGTGTTTTGATTGGACTGGATTACAAATTTCCTTCTGATACCTAGCGTGCTCTGCCTGTGATGAGGAAGCCAGGTCATGAGCCATATGCAGGCTGTTACTGTGCAGGCTTTACGAACTGAAGCAGTTGGTGTCATGTACTTGATCATCGTACCTAATTTCAGCAGGAGAAATTTGGATATCAGGATTTTAAGGGAGTTTATTATTCATTATTGCTGTGTTTATGTAGTATTAGAGATGTTTCATGCTTTGAAAAGGCACACACGAATTCTCTTTATAGTATCAGGATGCCCAGAAGAGTGAGCAAATCTTAACTGGATGACACCACTGCAAATAGTAAGAGGACACATGTAGCAGGGGCAGGCAGCATCCTAGCACATCAGCACTGGAAAACTAGATGAAAGAGTTGGTGTCTAATAAGCTCAAGAGGAAAAAATGGGGCCGTGTCCCGTATGGTCAGATGGGAATTGTTCTGACCACTTTTGGGTGGCCTCATGAAAAGTCTTGGAGCTGGAAGGAGCAGCAGGTCATAAGACAGAGGTCAATGAGGTGGTCCCATTGCCATCTTCATTTTACAACTGTAGTGCTAGCATTAGAGTTCAATAGTGCAATGTAAACACTGCATATTCTTCTAGTAAGTGATATTTTTGCTAGGGTACTGCTTAAGGAGTGAGATGATTTCTTGTGGGAAGTAAAGTATTTGTTGAGATTTTTTTTTTTTTCCTTTTTTATTGCTGCGTTATGGATGGCAGTATTACTAGCAGTGGTGAGCTTTCAATCCGTGTGTGTGACTGCACATCACAGGAGTTAATTGTCACATTTTGTCTGCAGAGAAATATTAAACGTGATAGTGTAGAGCTATAAACGTGCGTGACTGCAGGGAATTTTCTTGGTGCTGGTACGAGTCTGGCTACCCAGAGGTGGGCAAAGTGAATCCGTTCATCTTGTGCAATGAGTTAAGCATAATTGCGGTTGACATCATGCACAAGTGAAATCCAGTGATATTTCGTTCCTTCAAACCTAATCTCCTCTTTATCTTTTCGTCTTTTGAGTCAATATGATTCTGGCAAAGCTTGTTTGTGACACCCAGTGAAGCTTATTGTAGAGTACCCTGAATGTTGTGGATTAGCCCCACTGTGGAACGAGAAACAGCATAACTGCATCTGTATGCTGTCTCCCTGGACTTAATAAGCTATGGTGGAAAGCCTGGTATATGAACTTGGGTTCAATATTATACTACCTTACCAAGTGGAAAGAAACCATATTAATATCTTGTATGTATTAATGTCTTGTGTGTTGTGAATTGGGTGCAGGAATTTCAGTTTCCAGAAACTGATGAATAGCAGTTTTTTGAGGTTATCAGTTAATCTGTTGTAACGAATGCTCTTCATTACATGCCTCTCCTTGTTAATTAGAAGGGATTTTTACTCCTCTTTATCAAGTCAGGGCAAGTATATTACCTTTGCCTCTGTAGTGCTTATGATAAAGTGTGTATCCAGATCGTTTTGTGAAGTGTCCACATGAATATTTAATTGCATGTGCATCCACACATTCATACGCTGTCTATTCTGAGCTCCAAGCTCTGATGATTATTCAAAACATTAAAAAATCCAAAATGTAGATTGTTTAATCTCTTCTTATATTTATCAGTAGAAATTCGCCTTTTCTGTGTAATAATGTGTTTATGACATTAATTACCATGCCAGTTTAGACCAAGGCAATTAATCACTGCTACACACGACAGAAACAATAGACTCAGAATCAAGTTCTCTAAGTACAGAGGTGAGCCTTGTACCTTCCATAAATGAGAACCTGCCTGACAGAAGGGAATTTGTACCCTGGTTTGGATCTTTTACCTGTATTTATTTGAAAAACAAAGCCAAAACAAAACACAAAGAAAAACCCCACCTATTTCCTGCTCTGTTTCTTTCCTACAGGTTGAAGCAATACTTGTAAACATATTTGGTGGGATCGTGAACTGTGCCATTATAGCCAATGGTATTACCAAAGCCTGCCGAGAGCTTGAGCTGAAGGTACCTCTGGTGGTCAGACTGGAAGGTGAGTGCTAATGGTTTCAGACAAAAATTGTCCCTCAGGGGCACAGTAATCCACTGCGGCTTTCTTTGATCTCTAAGCTCTAAACAGATTAGTCCCACACAATACGAGTGTGTCCAATTCTTCATCCGTAGCATGGCCTGAAGTCAATAAGCTCTTTCCTTACGTATTGCTGTATTCCTGGTCCCTGGTGGTACTAGAAGCAATGAAATTTTGCAATGAAAGCATTATGGTTTTGCTTGTAAGATTTGCAATGCAAATAGAAATTATTTTGATGCAAGTTTCTGTTTACTGGAAGGTATTTCTTTTTCAAATGATTTTTTTTTTACTGAATGCAATTCCATTATTGCTAAACCTGCAGCAATATATAGTTTTCTTAAATTTACTCCAATACCATAATTAAAAGAAAGATGTCAGAAACCGTATTTTTGAGAGAGAGATTACTGTAATATGTTCTTCTGCCCAAATATCCAATCCAGCTAAAATCCATTAAAAAAAAGAAGATTTGGTAATGGTAAGGAATATTTTTTTTTTTAGTACATCCAGCATTGTTAAACTGGAAACAAAAAAGTAATAGAGAGGTAAGGAAGAGCACTCTTCAGCAGTTATTGGCTTTAACATAATGGCAGTGGATATAGAGTTCTGTCTTTAATTTCTGAGAAGTACCCTGAAGGAGGAAGGGAGATTCTTCTTCTGCCATTGAATGAGAAAGTGCTTTGATTGAAATCAGCACACAACTCTGATAAGCTTAAAACATTTTTTTCATGCTAAGTAGGTTTGGAAAATAGAGATTTTTCTGGTTTGTTTTTTTTAAGCCCTGTTCCTCAAAAACATCAATATTCATGTTTGGGTGTGTGTAAAGAGCATAAAATGTCCTATCACTTGGCGTTGGTGATGAAAGGAGGAAATGCATCCCTGTATGTACCTGAGATACAAAACAAAGGTGTTTTTTAACACTAAGATAGAGGGGGGAGGAAAAAAAGTTCTGAATGCACCAGACTTTTTCCTTTTCAAAAAGTAAAGTCACCAGGACTCATGATGATGCAATTACCCATGAATTCCTTTGGTTAGGGGGGTACTTGTTTTGCCTTTCATGAGAAAGCAGGGTTTTCCCATCCCTCATTCTCGTGCTACATTACACATGATACGTAGTTCGCGTCAGGAGAGACCATAGCCTGTGACATGCAATTTTGTCCTGTAAAAGTTCTGCTGTGCATTTCACTGCAGGGTTTGACGCTTTCCAGAGTCCATTCTCAGTTTAACATGGGTAGACTTTTGCTGTGGTAAGTGCAGGGAAATGTAAATACTCTAAAATGGATTCTAGAAACAAATTGTGAAAATTTTCTTTGGGTGATGCAGCACCGCTAAACGCCTTAAGAGAGTAAGTAGGTAGTTTAATATGGATGAAGGAGAGACTGATGGATGTTGGTTAGAAGCAGAAAAGTTTCATAATATAAAATCTCATTGTTTATCAGCTCTAGGCAATGCTTAGCTTTTTGTCATAGCAAAAAACTTTTCCTGTCTGTCATAGCTGGGAAAAAGTTTATCTGTCAGATCTGCAAGACGTCTCATCTATTGCAGCTGTTATTTTTAAAGTGAAGATATTGGAAAAGCTGTTAGTTTTCCTTATGAACAAGGTAGTTAGAAGTTGTTTCTATTGCAATATTTGAAACCAGTGTAAGAGAAACAAGAAAATCAACTTCCTCATTTTAAACTGCAGTCTGCTAGGTCTGCCACCAGGTTTTCTTGACCTTTCACCAGTACTTTTGATACTTCCATGATTGTACACAAGTAAGGGTGAATTATTTTTTTAATGTGACTTTTGGGAGATTGCAAGAGGCAAAGCAGTCCCTGGGCTGAATGAGGAGAGTCCCAGTGCTGCTGCACTGTGGAGTTTGTCTGGAAGAGAAGGTGTGGAGCAGGAGTGCTTCTGCCTGGGGGTTGCAGAAAGCCCTGCAGAGGGGACTGCATGGTGCCTGTTCCTCTTGTGCCTGCGACCTTTATGAGTCATGTGCTGCTTCATCCACAGAGATCGAAGCTGAATCTTCAGAATGTTGAACACAGATTTTAATGCGAACATCTTTTGTTGACCGTCTTCCCATAATTGCTCACTCTTTACTAGGTTTGTAATGATGCTTCTCCTATAGTAGTTGCTGGCTCCAGAGACGGCGATACCACATTTTCTTTAGCAAACTCTGTCCCAGAATAGTATAGCAAAGTCTCACTTTTGCATAATATTTATCTCAAAAGTTTTTTTAATTCCTTCTCTCATTCCTAGTGTTTCCCATCAGTTCATCCTAAAAGAAGAGCGATGATGTTTACAACCTTCAGATGTTGTACTTAGAAACGGTTAGCTTGTAACTCCTGCTTTCTCTGCCTCCTTAATCACCCAACCAAGTAATACATATATATTTGGTTCTTTTAATTTTTCCTCCAAAATCAATCCCTCTGGATCCTTAACCGTCTTCGTTGTTCTTCTTCGAACTCACACCAGGTTATCTAAACATATAAGGATTTTGAATTAATAATGAGTACTGTGGAAGTAATAAGGCTACCCAAGACTTTTTTTTAAAACATCTCTGATAACATTTTGCACTTCAAAAGGAGAAAAAGGGACAAGCACTTTGGGGGGATTTCCATTTTGAATGTTTTTCCAACAGAAGGTTCATGATTATTCACATAAATCTTAACAGATTTGTGACCTGCACTTAAAGACTCTTTGCCCACATGCACTGTATTACAAATGTCTTGATGACTAGAGTTTTAATCAGTCAAATCTGTCTTGATTTAGCAGGATTCTGTAGACAAATCTTTGTTCTCAGTTGTATAATAATTACAAGCTGTTTTACCAGTGGATAAAGAAAGGATTAGTCTCCTCTTTGAAAATGGTAACTTTATAATTACATGTATTTACTTGCCTTGTCAGTAAAGAACTCACCAGCTGAGACGCAGGATTACTGTTGTTTAAAAGGCTTATGGACAAATGGAGAAACCACATATTCCAAATTTTATCTTTTACAGATGTAGAAAACTAACTTCTGCTGGGTTTATGGAGGATTTTTTCCCCTTTAAAATGTAACGTACTTCGATTAAGTTTTGTGAAAACTAACTAGGAGTGCTGAATGGAAGCTAAACCTTGTTTCTCATTTATGTAGCTCAGAGTTAGGTGAAAAGAGGAAAGAATAAAAACAATAATTGTGAATTAGATGTCCTCTTCCTATGCTGGAAATTTTACATTCTCTGTCTTTCAGCAAATTAATTCTCTGCTTCTCTGGTCTTAGGACAAGAACAATTGGGAGGAATTAGGACTACTTAATATGTTGAAACGCAGCTAGAAGCAAGTTGGCTTTTATTCAAATGTTTGAATCCAAAATTTCCTGTTATATTTTTCAGATGCGTGATTCGTGACCTTCTGTGTTCTTCAGAATCTAATGATTTTTGTAATATATTCAGAAATCTTTTACACACAAGAAAAATTTTGCTCCAGCTTGTATATCTTGCTCACAAATATGGTTTAGTATGTATGTCTGTGATTTTTAGTATCCCAAATTGCCTATCAAGAGAAGAATGGGATATTGCAAAGTCACACTTAGAACTTTATTCATATCAACCTCTTCAGACATCCTGGGTTTAAAGCCTCAGCACAAATTTAAATATGTCTTTCCCAGTTATGTTGTAAACATGAGGCAGAGGAAAACACTAAAATATTCCTTGGGAAAAGTTTGAGACAGAAAAGGGCAAATGGGGTGGACAGAATAGGAAGGGTATAGGCAGTGAAAGTTGATTTATTCTTGACTGCAGAGCCAACAGCTAAGGCATGTATAAGCCACCAAAACTTCATAGGTTCCCTATTAATTAAAGCTTACCACTAGCCAGACCTCAAATGAAATGTTGATGACTGAAGGTTAGCTAGTGATGAACTTCAAACCTTGTCCTTTATTCTCGAATACCTCTTGTCTTTGAGACCTGGGAGTCTATGAGTTTCCAGCTTGTGGGCTAGCAGAAATGACATAACCTGGATCCATGCCGGGGCAGGGGAAATTGGGTTCTTAATGTGCTCAGCAGTGTAGCTTATCAAAGCTGAAACATTGCTATTGATAATGTAACATGGTCACAATGTTTTCATGTCAATAATAATTTTCAGACTTACTGCATATTATGAAATATTTTGTCATAGCAGAATGTTTTGGGTAGATCAGATTATTTTTTGTGGTAGTCTTCTAATTGTTAGGATGCACCCAATATATATAACTGTCTTCCCCCCCTTATATCTCATTTACTTGAAAACCTAGAAATGGTATTGCAGAATCTTGCATCCTCTCCAGCCATCAGCATTAAACAGTGGCAATTTAGCCTGTTTCTGATGGTTTTATGACAGTGCAAGTGAATAAATGAACATTATAAAAATCCTGTTGGAGTGTGATTGGGAGTGTTTAATTTGTTTGGTTTCATTCAATCTATGCAGCCCTCTTGACTCATTTCTAACAATGTGTACTAGTATAACCTTACAATTTATAGAAACATGCTTAGATAGAATATTTATTGCTAGGATTTTTAGCTAATGAGTTGAATAGATTTTCTTTACTAGTGATAGCAGAGATTTCAAGGCCACGGAAGTGTAAACGTGAGAAATCGCATGTACACAGACAGAGAGGTTGTTTCAGAACCCAGGTTTCAGAAGGAGGATATTTAGATTAAAAAGCCTGAAGGTGTATGCTGATAAAATTACATCTTTCCTGTTTTTCTGTGGAGTGTCATTGACAGTAATATGTGTCAGAAGGAAGAAACTTCTTTTTCTCATTATAAAGCCATTCCCTTAATAGAGTCCAGTTTAAAAAAACAAAACAAAACTAAACAAAAAATCCAGCAACAGCAACAAAAGCCCTGTAGCCTTCAGTCCTGTGAATTTTCACTGTTTCTCTGTTGGCTACAGTGTAGGTGAAGGGCAGGTTATTTTGATAGCCTGTGTATGAGATTCTGTTTACAGTTCTCTGACACCATCCAGTGGCAGGAGGTTAATGTTAGAATAGCGGGATTATTTATTTGTTTATTTTAACATCTACTGCAATAAGATTGTAGATTCTTAAAGGTTTCCAGTTTTTTCTGAACGTTTAATTTTAAAACTTTTACCTCTGCTTTCAGCAGGATCTCATTGTAATTTCTGTATTCTCCATATATCTAAATACTTATCACAATGGGATAAAAAGCTATCATTAAAAAAAGAAAATTACAGCAAAGGAAATGCTTGCTGAAAAATATGTTTAGTTGTATGGCCTGCCTATAAAACAGTATTTTATTTAATAAATGCAAAGCATATCCTTACTCTTTTGACTGCAGTGAGATTTTTTTTCAGCTTTCATATTTTCATTTGCCTGCATGAACTCCCCCCTCCCTTCTTAGCGGACTGTGTTTTGTATTGATTTTGTAATGCATGTTAGACAAGTGGTGTGTAGAGCAATCACTGCAGTGCAGAATAGATCCAATGTATTGTTCCCACTCTGACCTGTTAGTAAATTAATATTGGCCCCTTAGTGAAGAGCAAAAGTTAGTTTTAAATCCATGGCTATCACAAACATCATAATATTTTTCTCTGTGGGAAAATTTCCAGGAAAATAGCCCTCTTTCCATTTTTTTTTTCCTCACAACACTTTGTCTTGTAGAATCCTATTTGAGAGATCAGTACAATCTTGACTGTTTTAAATGTTTATCACACTTGTATCTAAATAATAGATAAAACCTTCAAGACTTGATGGGAATCACTGTACAAATGTGAGGAACTTAACAAAGAAGAGAACCTTCCTGCTGCCTTCTGACTTCCCCGTATAGTTCTGTGCTGGCAATTATTATATAGGATGGTTGGAAAAAAAATCAAATATTATGCTCTTTTTTGCCCATAATATTCTTTTTTCTGTAGGAAAAGTCCTGTACACTCCTGGATGTTACTATGCAACCAAATCCCCCTTCTGTCAGAGATTTCAGATGTCTTTGACCTTCCTACACAAGTCCCACGGTGTGTCCTCTGCATATCGATGGGAAGCGTGACCTCTTCTGCCAGTGCTTTTAAACAGCTAGCAGATGGGGTCCCACGTTCCTCTTCCAGACACCTGCCTCTCCTATCACAAAGTGCTGGGGCCTGCTGCGACAGAGACGTCTTTGGTCTCTTTCAGTGCCGGAGTGGGAATCCTGACTTGAGCACGCTGATGAAACAGACTTTTGAATTTCCCTACTTCTGCTGTACAATTTCAGGCATTTTGTGAAGTCTGCCAAAAACCCAAAATCACCCTTTAAAATGAGCATTGTGGAAGTTGCATAGTAAAGAGTACGCTCCTTGCTTGGTTAATAATTAAGGGTATAATTAGTGTATAGCTCCAAATATAATTAAAATTCATTTTGCTAGGTCTAGGAATTGCAAAGTAATTAAGCACTTTGACACGGCAAATGAACAAGGAACTTGATGTGGAGGAGGGGGCTAGAAATGATCCTAAAGAGGATCAGCTCAGGGTCTTGTGCTTGTGACTAGTGTGTGATCCCGAAGTATGGACTCCGCTTCCTCAGTAGGATATCTGATTCCAAGTCCTCCTACGGTGCAGAGCATATCAGTGATCAAAACTGTCACTTGGCTTTGCTGGAGAATTTATATTTTCTGTTTGTCTCTTGTCTTCCATCAAGAATGAGCTAGAGTATATGGGAAGGCGATGCACTTGTCTTTTATACATGTGAAAAACATGTTTTCCTGAAATACCTTTTTTAATTTATGGGGGTTTTGTCTTTACTGTGCATGTAGTCTGTTGATTAAATTTGAGTTCTTTATGTACAAAATGGAGCACTTGCAGCGGCAGAGGAGGGAACGGTGTCATGCTGAATGCTTCAGAGATCTCTGTGTTCCCCCTTTTTAGCAGAAATGCAAAAAAGTGTATTCAAGAGCAGCTCAAAGCCAGTTGGATTTTCAGGATTACCCAAATCTTTGACTTTCAATAGCCCATTTTGCAGCTTTCAGTTAACACGGGTGCATTTTGGTTATTGCTGAGGCACTGACAGCTGATTAGCTGTAGCTGATTGTTGCTAATAAATGTGTTAAATCTTCTGAGTGTCTTAAAGGCCTGATACGTGGTCCATTATCCACTGTTCTTGCTGGATGTCCCTACTGACTCTGGTGGATGTTGGATTGACCCTCTAAGCTTCACAAAGCCCTTCCTGTGGATGCAAGTGCTATTATCAGATCGCATTGTCTGTCAAAATTGTCATTGAAATTGAGAGTTCCTTCTTCTTGGCTCAGTCTAAACCACTCGTTGAATCTGTTGTTAAACTGATCTGTAGTGAAGCATTAACAACTTTTATAGAGATTTAATAGAAGATGCTCATTTATTCAGTAATATTAATTACTAATTATAGTCAGTGTTCTTTTTTAGGAACAAATGTACATGAAGCCCAGCGTATTCTGAATGAAAGTGGACTCCCCATCACATCTGCAAATGACCTTGAGGATGCAGCAAAGAAGGCAGTGGCTAGCGTGGCCAAAAAATAACGATGTGAAGATTATTCTTCTGGAAAGTGTGTGTTTCACAAGACATCCTTCCTGTGGCTATTTCGGAGAGGATTAGTGGAGTTTTTCTGAGCAGTCGTCAGTGTTGGTGGACTTAATTTGTGATACATGGCAAACTCAGGCCATAGGCTTGCAAGTTAGGCTTCAGAAATTTTGCAGCTACGTTCTTGAAATGTTTGTATGTCTTCATCTAATTTTGGTAATTTTGTTACTCAGAGTTGTAATAAGTAATATTTCACTTCATAAAGCTCTTTTTCTGCCTTCCTTCCAAAATTGTCACTGATAAACTTCTTATAAGATATAAAAATTAATAATTGATTTCTATCAGCAGGATCGTTCTTTAATCAAACACATGTAGTTCACCCATTTCACAAAATTTTCATTCATTTTTTGATATTGTGAAGAGTCAGCAAACTAATAATGGTTTATATTTTTTATGGACTTTTACAATGATGTAAAAAAATTGTGCTTACAATATCTATTTTTATTCAAATGAATAATGTTTATTTTCTTTTTTAGAAATCACACATTTTGCCTTAAGATGATTTTCTTTTGTAGATGCCAAAGTATACCTCACAACAGGAAAAGGGATTGAATCGTTGGTAGTGAAAGGACCTTCCATTCTTATACTTTGCCTATAAGCTGGCGAAATGAGATTCATTTTATTTTCTAGGTTTTGGAAATTAGGTGCAGTGTTTCTAGGTGTAACAGTGCCGTACAGAGAGCTCTAGGAGGATGTGTCTGCCAGTAAGAAAACGGCTGCTAACTTTTTAAAATAACCTCTTTCATAAGTATGTTGCTGCTTTGAGGTTTTAAAATAAGATGAGAACCTGAAGTAGTTTTCTGTCAGGAGCATGGAGTATTCTTCAATTGATTGAACTTCCAAAAAACATTTCTGATTTATTGGGAATAAAACACAAATGAATTTTTCCATTTTTAAACTATTTGATTTCTCAGGAATCAGTAAAAATATGTATGAGAAAAAAAAATATGTAAGTTTCAGTACTCAGATATTGACCGAGATTTATTTTGATTATATATTCTTTTGTAACAGTCAAAATTCAAGCTGTTAGTTACACAAATCATTCATTCAGGGAACAGAAGGCAATACCAAATGGCTTGTGTAACTAAAGAACTCAGTACAAATCTCCCTCAGCCCAGGAATTACATGCTGAAAATCATCAATAAATTTGAACAGTGAACAAATGAGTAGATATTATGATCTGGTCTTGTAAATGGGCAGAGAGGTAAAGATTTGTCTAATAAATTCTTAATTGTGATTTTTGGGCAGCTCTAATCAATACCGTGTTCTCCTTAGAAAAATGTAAATAAATTTTTCTTGACATTTCCATTAAAACTGTTACATTCAAAATAAATTATCTGCACTAATCTCTGGCTCTTGACACAAATAGTATAGATAGGTTGCTATCATCAATTACTGTAGGTTTTCTTTTCTCCATTCCTTTCTCTACATATTGCTCAAGGAAAAAATGTATGACCATTAGAATAGCAATAAATATGCCACTAGGTATGTACTTATTGACTGAATGAAGAAGGGTATCGTTAGCAGTTCTTGTGAAGGTGCATAGAAGCACACTGCTTTGAAGGAAGAAATGTTTACCTCACCACAATAAATAAAAAAGTCACACTCTATTTTATATATTTTAATACTGGAAATAGAAGCATTCTGTGGAAGAACTGTTTATGCAACGTTGTCACACACTGTGTATCTAACTTCCGGTCTCAAAACCATTCATTGTGTCTGTACATGATTATTATTCTGCAAAGATAAATGCTGTGTACACCGTTTCATCAAATAAATGTAAAAATGAACACATTTAATGACTTTGTCCTTTCTATAAAATAGAAGATTGTTTCTCTCTTGTATTCTGTGCTCTTCCATTCAGCATTTTGTTACAGGTGGGTGAAATCAAATGCACAGGAATTCAGTTTCAATTGGGTAATATTGAGACACTCTTATATACGTGCTTTTTATCTAAAACAGTAGATCTTTTTATCTCTATATATATCTTTTCTTATGTGTAGGCTAATGACAGTACATACAAGTTTTATTCCTCTTAAGCCATATACAGAACAGTATAATTTGTAATTTTCAGATATCATATGGAAAATTTCCTAAGCTCTGGGTTTGTGTTTTTGAACGTTTGGTGTTTCACTTGCGCCAAGGCACTGTCTGTAACCAGAGGCTCTCTTTCTGTGTTCATCTTGCTTGGTGTGGTGTTGTGGACTGGTTTGTTTTTATTTGCATGGGTCACTTCTCTGTGTATGGAAACGGTGTTAGTTTTGGTCTCCCTTGGAAAGGCGTTTTAGTTACATTTCCTGTGACTTTTAGCTGCTATAAATTGCAAGTAAACGCAATGCCTAGAAGGGATGCTTTTGTCTTTGCTCAAGCATGCAGAGTTGCAACCTGGCAAGAGTGTGGTTTGCTGTCCTCAGCAGCTGTCTACCTGATTGCTGCTCCCCCACCTCAGCGGGGCTGGATGCAAGCTTCGCTCCAGCCAGCTTTTATAGCTTAAACCCAAAAGGCACATACATGAGAACTGCCCCTCCCGCAGAAAGCGAACAACAGTGTAAGTGGTGGGTAAGTTCCGGTTAATACCTTTTGTGAAAGTTTTAAGTGGGATTTAGTTAACCTTTAAATCTTGACATTTCAGCCTGTATTAATAAAGCTCTGTAGGACTGGGCACTTAGAAGGCAAAACAGGAGGAAACTGTTAATGCTGACATTGTGTTGCATCTTTAACAGGATACCTTTAAATTCTCACAGCAAAAGTGTAACAGCTGGGAGTTCTGGAGTAATGTCCTTAACGTGCATTTACTATCCCGTTTGTCAGGCCTGTTCTTCCCTACATCCGGAAAAGCAGCAGGTATCATGCAAAATTGCTGTGATTGGAACAGCATGTCAGTGCAAATCAGTCACCCCATGAGATCCCGAGCAGGGCTGTCCCTTTGCAGCAGAGTCTGCTTCCCCAGTCAAGAGCGGTGCTGTGCCGCTTGCCTTGCCCTCCGAGGTGAGTCTCACCTGGTGACCTTGGGGATTTTCAGACCTGGGCACCTACAATAACCTCTGGTTTTTATAGGTCGGGTTGGCCCGGGTGGTCCCCTTGTGCTGAGAGCTGAGCACAGTACTAGCTGAGTGTACGAACAGTGCCCCAAAACACAGGTCTGAGCAGCCTTGCTGGGCTAGAAGAGCCAGGAAGTCTGCGTGCACAAGGCTAGGTGCTGGCAAAACCACATCCTATAGCAAAAGCTGTCAACTTAGTTACAGAAATCCAAAAACCTCCTAGGCTTAGTGGTTTATTACGTGACGTGTAAAATGCTAGTACTAGATGCTGCTGTAAGCCTCTGAACTGATTGCGACATTTCATGCCTTGTTTTTCTTTTTGCTGCCTTTCAGAAAAGTGGAGTTTCTTTTGAAGTCAAGGTCAACTCTAGCAAGGGGCAAGTGGGTGAAAGCAGGTTATTGCATGGTTTGATTTATCATCTTAGATTCTTTCCCCTTCCTCTGCTAAACTTCCTGGGGTTTTCCCCACTTTTCCACCCACATAGCTCACTCCCCGTGCTTCCTCACTCCTTATGGTGTTGTCCTCAAAACTGGCAGAGTCCATGCCGCCGGGTTTTACTAGGTTTGCATGGTTGGGCCGGCTGGTCTGGAGCTGGAAGTGTTGTGTGAGCATCCAGCCACCTGCCTGGGAACTGGGTGTGCTCTGGTCAGCCCACCTGCCAGCGCCAGCCTAACACCGTGCTACCAGCAGGCATCGGCGGCAGGGTGTAGCTGGTGTACGCCAGCCTAAAAGCCATCCTAGAGTCCTCTCAGTGCCTCTTCCCTACCTGTCCATTGCTGTCCTGGGAGGCTAAGACCTCGACCTCCTGTGTTCTCCACTCGCTTCTATACAACAGGAATAAACGCAGGAGCAGAAATGGGCTGAGGAGCAGTTTGACTTGCCTGTTCGGGAGTGCTGGGCTCTGAAATGGGGTTGTGTTTCAGAAAAGTTGTAGACAGGTATGTTCATAAGAGGAGTGAAAAGCATAGGAAAGCTTAACACGCATGTAAAGGGCTGCTTAAAAGAGAGAGGAAATACTCTTCTTCAAGGAGAAATAGTCTTCCTCAAGTCCAGTGTGGACGGGACAAGCAGTGAGGAGCTTTGACTGTGGTAAGGGACATTTAGGTCAGACTTGTAGCCATGAAGTAAGCCAAGGAACGGACTGTGAAATCATCAGTGGGTGTTTATTTTAGAGTTAGATGAGCATCTGTCAGGGATTGCTTAAAAAGAGTTGATTTTCGCCTCAGGGCAGAGGGATGGATGAGGTGACCTTCCAGCCTGATCTGATAGGATTTAATGCTTGTTGGTAAGGTTTCATTTTCTTATTTTCTTCTTAACTTGTAGGTACAGGGAGGAAAAAGGAGGACAGATCTGGTGGATTCTTGAAAGAAACTGTTTTTAATTTAGTCACCAAGAATGATCTGCAGCTGCCAGGGAAATGAAAAGCAGATTATGCAAACTGAAGACGTTCCCTAACAATGGGAGCAGTGTTATTGCAATGCATAAAAGGCTGAGCAGAGAATTAGGGGTATCTATCAACTTTAATATGTTTAATTTAAAAAGGAACAGGTTGCACCAACAATTTTTTTTCTACTTAATGAGGCCCATTCATAAGTAGAATAACAGGATTTGCCTGTCACCCAGAGGAAATCATGGTATGTGTATTTGTACTTTGGTGCAAAACTTGTGTTGATCGCAGTGATTTAAAACTTTTTCCAGCCCAGCTGCAGTCAGTTTGATGTCAGGATCCTTTCATCCAGAGACAGATGCACCCTTGGTAGAATCCCGAACACGTCTGTGTCTTTGTTCAGCCCCACAAAGTACCAGCTAAAGATTAAAACTAAAGGTATACATGAATTATTGCATGTTATTCCTCAAAGATAACCGCTGTGAGATAAGATTTGACTTATCCAAGACCTGGTAGCCCCCTCCTGCAGACTGCAGAAGGATCTTTAGCACATATGTGATTTTGGCCTTTTGCATTTCTCTATTCTGCCCACGTTTGTGGGTGCTGAGTGTTGTAGGAACAGTCATAGAAGAACTTTGCATAGCATATGATGCTCCCCATTTCTTGGGGCCATTTCTTTTCTGTAGGACTTGCAGCAGTGAAGAGGGAAAAGGTTTTCTGTGTATCTTGGATCACGGTGCCAGGCTGGAGACAGGACTCGCCTCCGTTCCGGTGTGTGGACAGACGCAGGCTGCTTCCAGTGAGCTACCCCTTCCACGTTCTGTTTACGTAA